GGACAAACTGACCTTGGAGTCTGATCCTGGGCAAACCCTTTGGCTCTCTTTTGAGCCACCCTTTATCCATCTACAGGCAGGATGAAAATAAATAATCCCCACAACATGCTTATCTCAGAAGCATGTTGTGGGGATTAGCTGACCACTGGAACAAACAAAGAAGTGTTAACATCACTTCCATGAAATTTCTTGGAGCAATTTAAGCTGCTGATAGGCAGTCTGTGTCGTTGGGCCCATGGTTGAGTTTTCCCTTTGTTATCAAGTTTATCATCAAGCTTCTCCGAGTAATTTGTGAAACTGAGGAACATAAAGCTGTGACTTTATTTCCAATTTGGAATAAAATCTTCAAGATTGTAGCAAAAAAGATACTTAATAACTTTTAAAAAGTAAGTTAGCTATTAATTTACTTGTTCTCCATCATCATTTGTTTAGGTTGCAATGACAAGAGAAAAGTTCCCTGAGAAGATTCCATTTAGATTAACAAGGATGCTGACAAATGCTATGGAGGTAAGAATTCCTTCTGATTTGGAGGGGACTGTTCCTAGGGAAAATGGCAACCATTTCTCAGTTTCTCTTGTTGTGGCTAAACTTCATCACTCCTTAAGAACCCGAGGTGTTAATATTTCAGCTTCATTTTCTGTGAGTTAAAACATCTCCTGTGATATCTGTGATACATTACAGTGGAAAGCAATTTTTTAGTTAGAAAATAAACTTACCCTGAAATTTCTCGAATTTCTTAGGCCTTCCTTAGTTTCCCCATTTCAAATAACTGTTTTTATCAACCAGACAGAGTCAGTTGCATGGTATTTTACAAAGATCATCCTCATGGAGAAGAGAGCTTCTTAGTTTGTAATTAATGCATGTCTTGTTCTCTTAATGAACAAAGCATAGAGAACTCCAGTTCAAAGCTACTTCCTCCTCCCTGAGTGTTGGGGCTGTACTTGCAGAGTGAACAAAGCAGTTGATTCACTTCTTTTTCTTCCAAAGGTGACAGGCCTGGATGGGAACTACAGAATCACGTGTCATACAGTGATGGAAGTGCTGCGTGAACACAAGGACAGTGTCATGGCTGTGCTGGAAGCCTTTGTGTATGATCCCCTATTGAATTGGAGACTGATGGACAGTAAGTGATTCTGATAAAATAGTGACAGCAAGAGAATATGCATACAAGAAATCCAGAAGCCTGAAATCCAGTGTCTTTTCAAACAATCTGATCAAACTGTTAGTTTGCATGTGCTATTTCTGTGCACACAGTTTTAGGGATTTTAATATGAAATTACAGCAGTGATCAGGAGATGGAAATTATTTTCAGGTGACATCAAATCTGGAGAAGGAGAAAGGCAACCAAATCTGTATTGTTTGTGGACAAATTTGCTCTGAAACACTGAAACTCCAGTTCATCCTTTCCAACTCCTTGTTTTCTTGCAGCAAATACAAAGGGCAATAAGCGCTCACGAACAAGAACAGACTCCTACTCAACCAGTCAGTCAGTAGGTGAGTAGAAAAGATGATAGATGTCACAAATATGCTTTTCAAAGTAGCTGATTAGCAGTCTTGCTAATGTTTCCAGAAGAATATTTCAGCTGCTTTTCAGCTTCACATTTATGCTTTTGTGTTTTCATGTTGTTTTCAATAGAAATGTTGGACAGTGTGGAATTGGGTGAGACGTCCCATAAAAAAACTGGAACCACAGTGCCTGAATCCATCCATTCCTTCAGTGAGTTTCATTATTGTTTCTATACTGATCCAGAAACTGTTCTTAGATCAGAAAATTTCATCATGATCCAAATGCAATTATATGAGATGGGACAGATACAGTCTCTTGTCAGCATAAAAGTGATCAGTGTTGTCAACTCCCACAAAGAGTTGCATCTGTAGAAAATGCATCTAGGTTTGCTCTCAAAATAGTATTTGGAAAGGACACATCTAACAAATGCTTTTATTGTTCAGATGAAGTGCTTATTGTGTGTCCTACTTCTCTCTTTTAGTAGGGGATGGTCTGGTGAAGCCAGAAGCTCTAAATAAGAAGGCAATTCAGATCATCAACAGGGTTCGAGATAAGCTCACCGGTGAGTGTTTAGTTGTGTTTATACAAAAGAAACTTAAAAGCTGATGGATCAGCACTGTCCTTAGTGTTTGTATTTTGTATTAAACCTTTAATTTAACATATTCTGATTAATTGGATGATGCCATTTTCCTGGTTTTGTCCATAACCTAAGTACTTTGCCTGTATTTAGATACAAATAAGTCTGATTTGAAAAGTACAGAGGTGTTTGTAACTACAGATTTCATATTTTGCTTGTGTTAGCTTGTTAGTAGAAGTTGAATTTCTACTGTCCTGGCTTCATAGTTTGCAGCATTTAGTTGCAAAATTTTACACTTTTAAAGTTTATAAGAAACTACTCCCCACCTGCCAGATAATGTACTTGAAGGGATTAGGACCAGGATTTGTGACTCCTTTTGTGGTTTTTTTCATCCTTTAATTTCAAAGGTCGAGACTTCTCTCATGATGAAACTCTTGATGTACCCACACAAGTAGAACTGCTCATTAAACAAGCAACTTCCCATGAGAACCTGTGCCAGTGCTACATTGGATGGTGAGTTTGTCACTCGGCTAACCTGGTAAAATTCTTCTGGAATATTCTGGGCAGGGAACTGCTAAAGAGAACCTCACTTGGAGCAGTTTATTGTAGGAGCCATACCACATACTGCATCTGATCTGGTAGATTCTGCAAGCTCATGGCAATGCCACAGACAGTCTCTAGGAAATTTGCTGTTATAAGTAGTGACAAGGATTTTACATTTTAAATGTTTGAAATAAAGAATGTGGTGGTCAGTGCTTTCAGCTACACTGAAGGATAAAACAAAGATGCTTTAGTGTCATTTTGAGACTTAGATAACTTAGAACTATGCTTAAGGAAATAGATCTCTTTCCTGTTAATGTTTAAAAGTGATAAAGATCACCTGGCAACTTTACGGGAGCTCAAGTGGTGCCTAGTCTGTGTGGAATCTCAGTCCTTCTCAGTGTTGTCTTTGTGAAACTACATGCAAGTCAACATTATTCCAATATCTTTATTTTCTTTAGGTGTCCTTTCTGGTAACAGGAGATTCCAGAGTATGCACAGCCTTTTATTCTGGAGGCTTTTCACTCCGAACTTGCTCTTCTACAAACACAAACGTTGGACTGAAATACAGCCTTTGTCAAATATTTTTAAATGTAAATGAAAAGAGTTATTGTATATTAAAAGTTGGTGTAAGCCAATGTATAGCTGCTGTTGGAAAAACAAGCTGTCTGAAACAAAACACTTGATTTGGGTTTCCAGGACAGTGAAGACTGATTGTACCACAGATGTCTATGGTTCCACTTTGTCTTTGGGGAACTGGAGATCCATTGAAAATAACTATACGGGTTTTCACTCACTTTGCAATGTAACTAAGTAACTTGCAGATTAATTATTGCCCTGGTCATTCCTGTTGATGTGGGTGCAGTGAGCTAAATGTGCAGGAGGCTTCATCTAGGTTTGGGGGGAGCTGCATAACTGGAAAGAAAAAGCAGAATTTTACCATTGTTTCCTCCTGTACCTTGTTTTCAAACTTGATTCTTGCCCCAAAATTGGAAATTTATCTATCTGCTCATTACACTAGTTCAGGATTTGTGTTTCTGACTAGATCAGGGTTTTGAGCACATCCAAGATTTGAAAACCTTGAGCCTGAGCAAAGTCAGGGTGCCTCTGTGCAGAGTGATTGGTGGCAAACTGGATACAGGGTACAAATAAATACCACTTAGGAGCCTCCTGCAGTGGCTGGGTTAAACAGCAGTGTTGGGAAATAACTAGGGAAAGTTAGGGTTTGGCACAGGAGGCAGATGAGGGGGGAGAGCTGGTTGTAACTTGAAACAGAAAATAATGGTTATTAAACATGAGGTTGAAGGTGAAGTTATGATTTATGAATTAAAAATGTTAAAAACAATGCACAAAATACAACAGAGTAGCCATGTTTAGATGCCATGTTGTATTTGCATATTTTTGTGCCAATAAATTACATCGAAATGTAAACACTTTGGCTGTGTTATTGTTTATTCCTAAGTCTTTCTTAGGCAGGGACAGGGAAGCAGATTACAATTTTTTTTAAGGTTCCTATTGCCATTGGTTTGTCTTTTTGTGCATCAGTTCGGGTCATTGGCTTTATTTCCCTTCTGACAGCAGCTGAATGAAGTCTGCCAGTTGTGTACACAAACTGTGACCATGCAACCCCTAAATTTTTGTTTTCTAGAAGATGTGATGCCATCTGTGTGATAAGAACATCAGCTTCCTTGGGCTCAGGGTCAGGGCCACAGTTCCAGGCACAGCATGGAGCCTTGGACAGGATTCCCTGGGCTTCCCCAGCTGCTTGTGCAAATGCTGCACTCCAAAAATGGGAAATGGGGAGGTGGCAGTCACAAGTTTGGGTGTTGGCCCTTGCCCTTTTCTGGGCATTGGTGTGGCTATCAAGGGGACTGGGCACCACGATATAAGATTATTAAGCCCCTAGAGTGTAGAAAGAAGGGAAACAAAGATGGGGAAGAGGAGCCACTGAGGGTGCTTGGTCTGTTCAGCCTGGAGGAGACTGAGGGGAAACTGATGGCAGTCTGTGCCTCCCACTTGAGGGGAAGAGCATGGGCACGCATTGATCTTTGCTCTGTGGTGAGCAGGGACAGGACCCAGGGGAGGCTGGAGCTGTGTCAGGGGAGTTTTAGGCTGGGTATCAGGAACGGCTCCCCTCACGGCTCCCTCACGGCCGCCCTCACGGCTCCCTCACGGCCCCTTCACGGCTCCCTCACGGCCGCCTTCACGGCTCCCTCACGGCCGCCCTCACGGCCCCTTCACGGCCGCCTCACGGCTTCCCTCACGCCTCCCTCACGGCTCCCTCCCCACACAGCGCCTATCCTGCCCCGCGCTGCCGCTGGGGGCGCCCCGCTGTGCTCCTCTCCCCGTTCCGGCCGGCAGCGCCCGATTCTCGCGATAGCACCGCGTGTCAACATGGCGGCGGCCGGCCGTGAGGGGAGCCCGGTGGGGCAGGCGGGCAGCTCCGGCGCGCCCGCCGACACCGAGGGAACTAGCGCCATGTCGGCCTTGCCCGGGTTCGACAGCCCCGATGCCTTCGTCAAGGTGCGGTCGGAGAGGGGCAGGGAGGGCGGGCGGGGCACTACCGCTCCCGGCGTGCCGTGTGCGCTCGGGCCATGCCGGGAGCTGTAGTTCTGTCCCGTGGGGGCCGCGTGGGGATCCCAGCCGGAGCGGGTGGCACTTGTAGGGTGTCCCCAGTGCGAGAAGGAGGGTGTGGGTCCGACCGGCGGGTGCGGGGGCCACAGAGACCTGTTACCGGCCTGGGTCGGGCCCTGGCCGTGTCAGCCCCCGGGGATTCCTGGAAATGCCGAGGAATCGGGACCCTCGTGAGGGCTTGTCGCCATGAGAATTGCCCCTGACCTTATAAATCGTCAGCCCCCGTGTGTTTTACCTATGCACGATGCTGATTCCGGAGAGGGAATGGCTGCCAGATCTCAAATAGGAAGTGTTGCAGGGATTTGGGGTGTTTTGTTAGAGTAGTAAAGTAGTTGCCTGCGTTCCTGCTGGTTTAGAACTGATGAATATTCTGAGTGGGAAGGCTCCCACAAGGATCATCCAGGAGTCCAGCTCCCTGCACAGACACCCCTACAGCCCCACCTTGTGCCTGAGAGGATTGTCCTGGTGCTCCTGGAGCTCTGGCAGCCTTGGGGCCGTGACCATTCCCTGGGGAGCCTGGTCAGTGCCTGATCACTGGCTTTTAGACTTCCATTATTTAAAGCTGTCTAAATAACTCTGTGAAGTTACTCCTGGTGAAAAGCCCCACAATACACACATTAGAACCACGCAGTTCCAACCAGCCAGGCAAAGTGCGTTTCTATCAAAGAATACCCTGAGAGTAAACAGAAACAAAATGCTGCCAGAATGCTGATAACGTGTTGCTCTTGCACAGTACGCTCTGGGCACAGTGGTGGCTGCAACAAAGGCATCCAACGGGCTCCCCCAGCCTGGAGACGAGTACGATTTCTACTGCAGCTTCCCGGGGTTCCGTGCCTACTGCAGCACGCAGAGCGACCGCCTGCTCCGCTGGTAAGGGCCCTCTGCAGCTCTGGGCTGCTGCTCGTGCCTGTCAGTCCAGCATCTAGCCCCTTCTGTCTCAAACTTGCCGTGGTGAAAAGGTGGTTTGTTTCACGCATCTGCTCCTCTAGCCCTTGGCAGCTGAAGTGGCAAGCTTAAAGAGGGCATTTCCTTACAATTGCCATGAAGAGCTGTGCAGAGAGGAGCAGCTGATGCTGAACACAGGCTGTCCATTTTAAAACCCATGTTTGTGAGAAAATAATTCTAACACTTTAATACTGTATAGGTGCTTTTTCTATTTACTGCTCATGGGACATCTATAATTTGATTTCTTTTCAGACTTTGAAGTGTAGGAAGTGTAAAAGAATTGGGTGTTTTAGTGTTTAGGTAGCCTGCTTTCAGATTGCTGACAGCTGTGCTGTTCTCTTGCAAGCATGAGCCAGGTGATGCAGTACCATGGCTGCCGGAGCCTCATGAAAGATTCCAGCAAAGTGACAGGGCTGGAAGACAAATTTGACATGCTGGTTGACTCCAATGATGTCATTCTTGAAAGAGTGGTAAGCAAATTATTTCTGGATGTGGTTCTTAAAAAGTGTTCTCTTGCCACAAGTTTTCTTTTTTTTGTTGCAAGAACTTTAGTGGCACAGCTTCCACAGTTTGTCACTATTTCCTCAATTTTGTGTATTCCCTTTTTATTTTAAAAACCCTTCCAAATGCTAGGCCAGAGATCACATCAGCTAAGGTAGGTGGGCCAAGGGGTGGGGAGGTAATATGGGATGTGTGAGGAAACTAAATGCAGTTTGACATAAAATCCTCACAGCCTGAGAACATGTCTGTACATTTGAGAGTGTTCTGAAGAAACTCCTCCCACCCCTGATCTTCAACATATTCCTCCCATGTTTCTCTGTCTTGAGTTGCACAGAATTTGGGGGAGATGGCTGTGGAGGTACCTACCTACACGATTTTCTTTACTCAGTCTGACTAGAGTGTCTGAGGGTGGTGATTTAACAGGTGCTTCACACTGTTTTTCTGGATTTTAGAGTATTTTGTTGGATGAAGCAGCAGGAGTGAATAGAAACCAGCAGCCAGTCCTGCCAGCTGGGTTGCAGCCCCCACAGATGATTGTTTCCAGCTGGAACCGTAAGGTGAGGCCCCCATGCTCAGTTTGGCTGTTAGCTCAGCTGTTCTCCCAGCCATTGCACTACCAGTTCTCCAGTGCAGCTGAGTTGTTAAATGTTCCTTCATGTTTTTTTTCACATTCTAAGTACCTCTCTTTTTCTCCTATTCATTCAAACCTGGTTCTGAAATCTTTGTGCTTTCAATTGCCATTTCAGTTTCACATGCTCAACAGCCTTTCCTGTGCTTATAAATTCAGATCTTGAGTCCCAGCTTCTTTTCCTTATTGAAAAAAGTTACTCAATTTTAAATGTGGGGTATAACTCCTCTGAATGTTGGACCAGACTGAGGAAAAGAATGTCTGGTAAGTCATGTTGGTTTTACCTCTGTTTTTGTTTTTTTTTTTAATAGGCAGGAGAATTCCACAAAAGAACTCAGTCTGAAACATTCCGACTGCTTCATGCCAAGAATATTTCTCGACCACAGCTTAAGTTTCGTGAAAAGATTGACAATTCCAACACTCCCTTTGTACCTAAAATTTTTATCAAACCAAATGCTTTGAAGCCTTTGCCTGAAGGTAAGGGGTTTATTTTTTGGGAGGGTAGTTTGTTGCAAGTATTTGACACAAACCTGTCCTCACTGTGTGGAGGAGAAATCACAGACTATAAAAACAAATTGCAGGAGATGTTGAACGTTTGGGTGTAGTGATCTTGGTGACACTGGTTGTTTCCATATCTGCAGTGTCAGGGTAGGTCAGCAAACAGCATCTTCTTGCTGTTATACAGCAAATAATCTGTTCCAAACAGATAATCTGCTGCTGCTTTTTACCACCTGGAACATACATGAGAGTCACTTTTGCATGAGAAGTCTTGACTAGTCTAGTTGGCTTTACAGATGTTCTTTCAGATGAGTGAGCTGCAGTAGGTGTGTGTACCTTTGGTTTTGGTGCTTTATCAAAGCTGCTGGTAACACCCTGTCTCAGTAACACATTCTGCTGCTGGCAGTTCATCTGTATTCTGCACTGATGCAGTTGTACTTTCAGTAACCGGGAATGATTGACAAGTTTTTCTGAAGATTTTTCAATTTCCATCCCAGCTTTTGAGCCAAAACCACCTTGTGTCTTCCTAAAACCAGCCAAGTAACTGAGTTGTTATTTCAGGTACAAAATGCCAGCAAAAGCAGCAGCACTAAATTGTTAAGATTTTTGATACTTTGTAAACTCTTGTGGTGGGTGGAGGGGGAGAAAGCAGTAGGCTGAGAACATGTTTTGTGGGGGACCTAGTCCAGTTATTCCATATTGGTTGTTCAGCCCTCACAAAAAGTGGACGGCAGAGAAAGGAGCGCCCTGAGGACTTGGATGTGCCAGCTGCTTTGGCAGACTTCATACATCAGCAGAGGACGCAGAAAACTGAGCAAGACATGTAAGAAACTAACCTGACAGCAAGGTGCTTGGAGTCCCCTGAGTGAACCTGTGTCACATTGTGCTGATGCTCATCATGTGTAACAGTTCTGCATGTGTTTGTGTCCACACTACATTGTATGTGATTTGCTTTAGACCTCTGCAGTTACATTAAACATCTGCTTAAAAAGAGACAGAATATGGGAACTACCATAGCTCTCAAAGCCTCTGTACTCTGTCCTCATAAAGAGGACTGGAATTTAGTCTGTGCTTGTGTCTTCCTAATTTCCACAGGTTTGCTCACCCTTACCAGTATGAACTGGAGCATTTTTCTCCACCAGATGAAGTTCTCAAGAAACCTGAACTCCAGGTTGGTGCCCACTTTAATTTTAAACTACAGATGCAGTACATTTAAAGCCATACATGACACATTTCAGGTTTGAGGGTGGAGGTTGGGACTGGGAGTTGACAGTGAACATACCATGCCTAACTCATTTGCTCTGCCAGATGTACAGGCCCATTGAGGAAACACCCTGCCATTTTATCACCACACTGGATGAGTTGGTAGAACTAAATGAAAAGCTTATGACTTGCAAAGAATTTGCCTTGGACTTAGAGGTAACCCATTTGTGTTTTATATTTAGAAGTTACACATATACTTTTTAGGAGCTAGGAGACCATTATATTCTTCTAATGGGGGTGGAGGGGTGATTTTCTCTTGGTTTTTGTACTCCCCCAACATGAAAACACAGTTCCTGACCCCTGATCTGATATTATCTATAAGGTTGAATTAAACTGTGTCAGTACTAGAAGTTTTCCAATGGCAGGGCTGGCTGTGCACATCTTAGTGAATTTGATCTTCTTTCAATTAATCCTGATTTTTTTAATGTCATCTTAGTCACTGCAAAGAGAAAGTTTGCTCATCCAGTGTCTTTTTTTCCTCAAAGAATCCTTGTTGCTCTTTCTTCCCTCATTTAGAATGCCATTTGTTTTATAGTATTGTTTCTGTAATGAATCCTAGCTTACATCCTTGAATCCTTTCCTCTCTTCCCTGTTTTCAGCACCACTCCTACAGGAGCTTCCTCGGCTTCACATGTCTGATGCAGATTTCCACCCGAACAGAAGACTTCATTATTGATACATTGGAACTGCGCAGTGACATGAACATCCTCAATGAGACCTTCACTGACCCTGCAATTGTGAAGGTCAGCTGCAAAATTCACCAGATTTTTAAAAAATTACTGTTGTTTTAGTTTACACTTTCTTATAGTCAAAATCACACTGTGTGCTCGGTCTTGATCACTTGATTCTCCTTTCACTATCATTTGTTCAGGAGCCTGTTTCCTTGATGTTAGTAGTGAATTGCTTGCCAGATGCACTTATTTAGCAGTTCTATACTTAACAGTAAAAAACAGAGAAAAGAAGTCTAGACACATGAGTATGAAAGCACAGCACTACCAGCCTGGAGTAGAAATGTTCTTTGTATTATTCCCAAATTTTTGTGCTCTTCAAGGTCCTTCATGGTGCTGATTCAGACGTGGAGTGGCTGCAAAGAGACTTCGGTCTGTACTTGGTGAATGTGTTTGATACTCACCAAGCTGCTCGTCTCCTCAATCTTGGCAGACATTCTTTGGATCACTTGCTAAAGCTGTACTGCAATGTAGATGCTGACAAGAAGTACCAGCTGGCTGACTGGAGAATACGGTAAAAACTGACCCTTAAAGGGGCTGGAGCTCAAGGTTGCACTTCTTGTTTCATTGCTAGAGCTTCTACTTGCAGGACTCACAGTTATGGGTTAGTCTCAAAGTGAATGAGCACAGCATTTACCTGGCCGTGCCCAAAGCTTTTGAGTGTTACATTTTCCCAGGTTTTCTTAGAAAATGAGTGCTTTTTGGAAATATGTGCAAAGATGAAGTAATGAAAATCTGGAAGCCCACTTCTTAGGAACAGTTCTTAATAACTACAGTGTTACAGAAGACAGTATTTGCTCCTCTAGTGCCCCCACAAAAACATGTAATTACCTGTGCAAGGCAGAGCAGATGGTGTTGGAGCAGTGATCTTGACTATGCAGGTGCACCCTGCACACCACAGAGATCACAAGTCTACTTTTGTAGGTTCTGCAGAGAGAAGACATGTGACAAATACCATAGGAAGCAGTTCTGCCGTGTGACTTAGCTACACAGCAGTCCTGCTCTCCAGCACATGAACAAGAATGTGAATTGGAGAGTGCACAGCATTTTGCTGCTGTTCCCTAACCAATCCTTCACTATGAAAGCAGATTTTCCAAGCTAGTTCTTGGCATGTCTCATATTCATTTTGCCTTAATATGCCTCTAAGAGAAAAGTAACAGTTTGGCATGACAGCTGAAATATGTTGGTGTAATTCTGGCTCTTTTTCTAGCCCTTTGCCAGAAGAAATGATCCGGTATGCCCGTGATGACACTCACTACTTGCTCTACATCTATGATAAAGTGAGGGAGTTGCTGTGGGAGAGAGGGAAGGAGCAGCCCACACAGCTGCAGGTTGTGTGGCAGCGCAGCAGGGACATCTGCCTGAAGGTAAAGCTTCACCTGCTTTGATTACCTGGATCAGAGTATGGGATTAGGAGAAAAGGTCCTTTGCCTATTCTATGTCTTTTTGTGTGTCTGAAAACATCTGTATATACTCTGACTCAATCACGTGCAGTCACTTCCACTAGCTATGGTCCTTGGATTCAGATTCCTTCCTGCTCTTTTTTGAATGCTAGTATTCCTTGGCCTCACAATACACTCAGGTGTGTCTTTTCTAAGAGAGATGTTACGTTTCTGGTTCTGCTGGGTATTCCTAGAAGTTCAAAGCCTCACTGGAGCTGCATTCATAGACAACTATATTGTGCCTGTGGAAAATACTGTCTGTGAAAGTAGGCTTTGTGTGATGTAGTAAAGCTTGATGATAGTAAAGCTATCTAAACTTCTGGATTTGATGAGGGTGGATTTCCCCTAACAATGGATGAGATGTGTGTTTTTCAGGAGCAGGCTCCTACCAATAATTTAGGACAAAAAGCTCAAATACTCATTGTACCAGAGTGAATTTAGTCCCCTGATGTCTGTATGAGATTCTGTGTCTGAGGGAGGCAAAACAGAAAGCTCATAAGTGCTTCTTTTTTTCCTATCCAGAAATACATCAAGCCCCTCTTTACAGATGAGTCCTACCTTGATCTCTACAGGAGGCAGAAAAAACACCTTGATACCCAGCAGCTGGCAGCATTTAGGCTGCTGTTTGCATGGAGAGACAAAATAGCACGTCAAGAGGATGAGAGCACGGGGTAGGAAGTCCTTTGTTATGGACACTGACTTAATGCTTTAGTAAATCTCTTGGATTATACATACCCCTTCCACCCCTGAGATGGGACTACTCTGTTACCTCTAGAAATTACTGTACTACATCAGGCTGCTTGTTACACAGAAGTTCTGTTATGTTTATTTTCTTTTTAAAGTGTTTCATTGTCTCAGACCTTGTAATGGGGGCAGAGTTGTGTCCTTTGTAGGTGTTGTTAATAGTTTTTAACATTCTGTTACATTCATACCACCTCTTTGTGTTGTAGGTATGTGCTACCAAATCATATGCTGTTGAAGATCGCAGAGGAGCTGCCCAAGTAAGTTTTGTTCACACTCAAGGAGTCTTACTTGATCTTAATATCCAGCAAGTCGCTTCCAAGTGTGTAATTACTTCTGCAGTTGTTCCCTTCCTTCCAGCTGTCAGTACTGCTTTTCTCTATAGTTGTTCAGTTTGGAAGAGAAATAAATAGCAGTACTCCTTTAGAAGGCTCGCGAGGTCTGGGATACATCACTTGGATTGTGTTGCACTAATAAGCCACATTCCTTTGCATTGCTCTGTGTTACACATTCCTTCTGAGATTCTTTCACTTTTACAGAGCAAGAGAGGGGTGAGTGCCCCCAAAACTTACTTGGATTTTTATTACAGTTCCTAAGGGAGTGGGGAGGGCAAGGGACAGATCCCTTAAAACACCAAATTTATATAATATTTTCCTCAGCATTTGGCACTCATCACCTAAGAACCATACTTGAGAGTAAAAAAATTATGTCTTTAAATGCAGGTGTGCTGCCTGGCTCAGCTTTCATAGGTGAATACTGAATGAAATGATGATGAGGACAGACCACATAAGTGAAAGGAGAGCTGACTTGGTGGCTTCTCATCTGCACAAGCCTGGTGCAGAATTTAATCACAGAGATTAATCTGACTTGTCTTGCTCTGTCAGTCAGGATAGTGGTTATATCCTTTGAATGCAAATGCCCAACATACCAGCCATAAATACAGCACACTGAATTTTGCTCCTCTCTCTCCAGAGAATCCCAGGGTATCATGGCTTGCTGTAACCCTGTCCCACCACTTGTTCGCCAGCAGATTAATGAGTTGCATCTGCTCATTCAGCAGGCCCGAGAGATGCCTCTTCTCAAGGTAGGATGGCTTGTACCACACAGGACACTAATCACTGGCATTCCCTAAGCCAGGCCTGGAGCTGATGGTGACCTGTGATGATGTGTATGCTGAAGTGTGCTTTTTGAACACTGAATTTTGTAGTAGAGCAGAAAGATGCGTTGTAACTTCTTGCCTGTCTGCTGTGTAGTGGCTTACACACGGTGTAGTTTCCTGGAAAACTGGAGCAGTAAACAAACAGACACTCCTTGAACAGAATGCAGTTTATACTGTACATCACATTTGCCTGTGTGAGGAATTTGTGCACCTTGTGGAATTTGCTGGCCATGTAAATGGACTCATAAATATTTTACAGCTATGGTGAGGCAAAAGAACCAACCTAGGTGTAAGAAGTTAATTAGTTAAAATATATCAGCAGCATGTTGATATTAATGCAGCTTTCATCTGTAGTAAAAAAAACATATGTGAGCAAGAATGTGCCCTCTCTGTGTGAGGTGTTTGAATGTATAGCCAAGTGCAAACACTGCAGGAGGAGAAGAAAGTAATTTTATTAACCTAACTTTTAATAAATGTGATAAAAACATTGATAAGGTGGCCAGCCTAGAAGAAACAGGGCTTTTAAGTGACTTAACCTTTCTCTCCCATTCTAGTCAGAGATTACTTCAGCAGTCAGGAAGAGAGCACCTCTACCCAGCCCTGAGGTATTTGCATTGTATTTTTACCTAGAGTCTTAAGCCTTAAACTTGGAAACAAATGTATCAAAATTCTACCTGCTAGTAAATTGCTTCTCTTATTCATTTTACAAGTTTTTCTGCTTTAGCTTAATGGTATTATCTGTGCCAGATTCAAAATATTACCTGTTGTTAACTGATATTTTGCAAACCACCATAAAGCAGCACTTAAGGTTTCAGCAGCAAACACTGTGGCTGCTGGACAGTTTCATGTATGTTGGAATATATTGACTGAGCTGTAAGAAGAGAGGTTTCAGATAAGTTTCTTAGGCTGACTCGTTCTCTCTTGTCATGTGCATGAAGAGCAGCATCTCATTAGCTCATGGATGTTTGCACAGGGAGCCTTTTGATGCCACATGCAATGTGCTCTGGCACATGAGCTACACTAAGAATATTCCATCTCTGAATTTCATCCCTTTTTTTTTGAATTTTCATTAAAGTGTCTCTGCAGTATGTGAAAATAATAGATTCTTAGTGCATCAATGGTGTTTATAATTTGAATCTCTCTGCAGAAGCTGGAGAATGCCCTGTTTGGACCACATGACAGTTCACGGATTCCTATGGATGGTTTTCAGAATAACTCTGCCTTGGGTAATTTAGAGATAACCTAAAAGCCATGCTAATAATGCAGTGATGGAGCTTTGACATGGGGAGAATAAGCAGTCCTGAAAAAACTTTCAGGGCAACCTCATGACACAAAAGAGCACTAAAATACACAAGACTCTTAATAAAAATTTTGTCTCCTTTTCATGCAGACCCTGCACTGGTTTTGGAAGATGTTTGCCTCTTTTCAGACAGTGACAGGACAATGGATATTCAAGATAGTCAGCCAGAGTCAACGTGTCTTGTTGCTACTACCACTGTCAGCATATTCAGTGTAAGCAGTATGTTTGTGACAGTGTCAATATTGAAATACTAGAAAACAGACTTAATGATCTGATAAAACTGTGTGGAAATGTTGAAAGAAATAAGGTGGGAATGCATGACAACAGTACTGACTTTTGACAGGCATGAAGCCTAACCAAGACAACTGGGTTAGGGAGCCAGCAAGGTTACCTCCATGTCTCTGGAGGGTCACTGCTCTCAGGAGGATTTCAGAGTGAGAAGCAGCATGGCATGAAATGGCAGTAGCCAAACAAAAAGAATATTCGTGTTAATATGTCTTCCTTTTTTTCTTTTCTTTTAAGGAATGTGATGAAAATGAAGGAAATAAGAGGACTTTAACCACTGCACAGCGGAAAGCTCAGCTAATAATGGAGTCCTTTGAAAATCCATTTAAAATGGTAAAAGCTCCCAACAGTGGGATTCAAATTACCCAGTGCAGAGGATGCCCTGAGCTGGGCATCCAGGCATATCAGAAAGGCTTGACAGAGCATCAGCTGCTGCTCTCTGACTGGAATCAAGGGATTGTCCTTGCAAAGAATCATGTGTGGACTTGTTTTCAAAACACATTTAAATACCTCTTGGATACAAGTCTTTCTGCATAGTAAACAGACCATTCACCATGAGTTTTTAATCTAGTTTTCGGTTTTTCAGGTTTTTCATCTGTCCTTTGTGGCTAGGATTAGTAAGTTGTTTCTACTCTTGTAATTAATCAGAAGAGCAATAGAATGCTGTTACACGTTTGGAGTGGTAAATTACCAGAAAGTAATACCTGAATTTTTTCTGGTGTGCAGTTGATGGTTGGTCTGTTGGGGGTGTTTTGGTTATGTGGAGAGGGGCTTTTAGTTTTTTTTTTTCTTTAGTATTTCTCCTGGTAGTAGCTGTGGTGACTTCTTTTTTTCCACAAGGTTGTGTTGTATCTTAGAATATTTCTTCAAATTAACTCACTGATTTACAACAAGTAGCATTTTAGCAATGAGCTGAATGTCACATGCTGTTTAAAGCAAATTTTTTTTCCTCTCTACAGTATCTACCTCCAGAGGAGAATTCTGCCTATGTCTCACAATCTGCAAAGTTTGACCCATCATCAAAAATTTATGAAGTAAGACTGGTGCTAAAATTTCCTGCCAAGTAGTACAAAAGAAAGAAATAAGTAGTTTATTTTCCATTGGGAGCCTCAGCAATATAGATTTTTTTTTTCTCTCCCTGGATACTTCTTGGGAAACTTAACATGTTTCTGTGATATTTGTACCATTTGAAGAACCAGGGATTGGAGACCTTCTGCTGTGTAGTCCCTGTCTGTCAAAGCTGAAAACTCTACTGAAAGTGTGTGCATTTGTTTTTGAGGCTTGTTTGTAGCTTTGAACTTTTAAAGCATTTGGTTTTTTTCACATGGTGCAGCAGATCTTAATCTCTTTTACAGTTGAATTTATCTTTTGTACTCTTAATGAACACCAGCATGTGTTAGCAAGTTTATAAACAACTTCATAAAACTTTAAAGAAAGTGTTTCCAGGTAATATTTTTTCATTGCAGATCAGCAATCGATGGAAGTTGATGAGTCAGGCACCAGTGCAGAAGAAGTCCAAGAATGAAACCAATAAGAAAGCAGCCCAGCAGTCAGGTACAGCCATTCTTCCCTTCCTTGCCGTCTCTTCAGACTTGATACAAGCTGCTTTGCTTGCTTTTTCTAAGCCCCTGGCTAACTTACTCCTGCTTTTTACAGTAATGCTTGTTTGTCTCCATAGCTGCCCATGTCCAGACACAACAGTTGCATAAAAAGGCAGCAGAAAACGTTGTATCTATTCGTCAGCAAGCCACGGTATGTCACAGAATTTCTCCTTCCAGCCATTGCTCATCTTGACTGATATAATTCAGAATGAAACTCTGAGCCCTGTAACTGAAATACCTGAATGAGAGTGTTTTGATGATAGTGTTTCTGGTGCTGCCCCAGTGTAACAGCAGGCTCCTGCTAATTGTGCTGTGCACATCATCACATCCCTGCATGTGTCCAGCAGGGGATGTTTTCTGCTGATGCACTGCTACTCCTCCCTTCCTTTAAGGCTCCTCAGTTGTTCTGCATAGGTTCCCCCAAATATGCCAGTGGGGCCAAAGCAGATCTCAGCTTCCCATATCCTGTGAAATGACAATTTAGCTTTTTATAGAAGTTCCTACTGTGAGGTTAAAAAAAAAATTAAATAGCAGTTTAGGCCCCAGGAAGAGTACAGAGATTTCTCCCCATGCTATTATTGCCAAAGGCAAGAGCAGTCACTGAAGCCTGGCTCCATGGGGCAGTTAATTTGCCCAATTAGATGTTTCATTCTCCTTTCTTCAACTTATTCTTTTTTTTTTGTGTTATTCTGTGGGTTGCTTTCATAGCAGGAGCAAGCTAATAGGAAGAAGGAGAGAGCCACAAGTGAAGCAGGAGCAGAAACAGAAGCAGAGTTGCCAACACAGGAAAAGAAACGGCAGAAGAAAACCCAGCAACCAGAGGAGCTGGAAGCACTAAGGCAGTTTACCCCCTTTGATTACAGCAATTCCAGCTTCAAAGTGTTTGCAGGTAAGATCTGATCCCTTGCTAGAGTGCTGCATGCTGTGGAAAATGTTACCAGCTGAGCCTTGAGAAGGCTGTGTGAGTGTGGGTGCCAGTGCAGTACAGATTGTTACAACGTGCTTACCTTATAGTGGGGAAATAGTTCAAGAAATTGACTTGAGGAATGTACACTTGAGTATTCCTTTTCTCATTTGGAAACAAAATCCTGAAACAATTGGCCAAGTGGGTTGTAGGTTTGGATTTTGTTTCTTTTCTCTTATCTGTTTAATTGGAGCCAGGAACTAAGAGGCAAAGGAGGTTTGATTCCTTTGTAAAAAAGCAGCTATTCAAAAACATCTCCTGCCCTTAAAAGATTGTTCTGGATTTTACTGTGTGGGAGACTGTAGTGAAACCTCCATATCATCAGAGGAACACTGTGGAATGCATTGTTCTTTATAGCAAATTTTAGTAACAGCTTCTCTCCTTTCTCTTAGGAGGCAGCAAATCAAAACAGTCACCACAATTTGATCCTGCCAAGCAAGCTTACACAGGCAAGGTATGGACCTGTCATGAAAGGAGGAACAGAAGTGTGGGCAGCTGTATGTACCCAGCCAGGGGCTCTCTGGGGGGGCACATGATATTTTGTGCATCTGCAGAATGTTCCCTAACAGCTGCTGAGATGCAGCTTCCAATCCCAAGTTCATGCTTTGTATATTATTTCTTCCCATTCAGGAGGAGCTTCCTTGGAGTCCCTCAGACTCTCTTGTTGTTTCCCACCTATTCATACGTTGCTCACACCTGTGCCTCTATACATCACAAGCATGTCATTTGGACCACAGCAAACCACCACAAATTCCAGTTCCAAGTTAAATTCTCAAAAATCCCAGGCATTCCAGTGGTTCCAGGACATGTCAGCTTTGTGTGTTGCTCATGTACTTCTCCAAGTACTGTTATTAGGAACAGTCTCACCTCAGAGATTTTTTACTTAACTTATTGCTAATTGAGATTGAAAAGAAGAAAAAAACCATAAACAATCAAACCATGGCTGCCTGATGAGCAGACACAATGTTTTGTGCTGCCTTTTTATGCATATTTAGGGAAGTCTGTGACCAGCACAGCGAAGTCAATGAGCAGAGTTCTGTGAAATTAGAAAGATCTGGCAGCACATGAATGTCATGGAATATACTTGGGAAGAGCCTCACTATGATGGTGTTTATTTGTTTGTTTGTTTCTGTGTGCAGAAATTTGCTGGAGCTAACAAACTTCAACAGTCTGGAAACCGGAGCATGTCCTACCTGATGGGGAAAGCTGAAAGGTGTGGTTTTAGCCTGCTCTCATCCAGTGGAGTGTTTGCACACCCTGCCCCAGAACCATGGGCAGACCATAGCTGTTGTCCTCTACTGCTGGGGAGCTTTAGCATGTGTTTAATGGAAGAGGTTGCATCACACCCTGACGGCAGCTTAAAGGACAAAAAAAAAGGAAAAAATCCCCAATAATTTAGGATTAATGCAAAGACAAGTCTGGGTGGAAGGTTTGAAATGCTGAGGTAAAAGTTTGTGTTAAAGGGTGTGGGAGTTGCTTTCTTTGATCAGAGATAGGTGGAAGTGGAGAACATCTGCCTAGCTTGGGAGGAATAAGAGCACTGCCAAGTGTGAACATTCTTGTTCTGATAGATACTTAGTGTTCAGCTTCCAGGGTCTGAGAATTGTGTGTTACTTAGTCATAAAATAGCAACACTACCTAAGGGCAGCGTTGGAGGGAGAAGGGTGCTCTCTGCCTCAGGACCCTCTCTTGATAGAATCATTGTAACATGGTTAGGTTTCAATCTTGAGTGAATTTGGCAAGAATTAAAGTGTTTGTTAAATTCTTTTGCAGGGGTTCGACACACCACTGGCCAAAGAGATAATCTTTGTTACAGGACCTGTGGGAGTTGCTGCTGAATGAAACTAGTTAGAAGTGTTGCCACCATGAGAAAGCAAATGCCAGTCATTGATCAGTTTTTGTACAGGAAAGTTTTTAAAATCATTAAATCCTTTTTTTCCAAAAGGAAAAACATCTTAAATTATCTCACTTTTGTTATATTCGCATTGCCTTTTTTTTTCTAATTATACTCACAGTGTTGCTTTGTTTATAATTTTGAAAGTTTATCCTGTGTCCTCAAACACAATTAGGCTAAACTTGTCACTTCTTGGGGCTGCCTGACATGCAGAACCAGCATGTCTTTGGAGTACAGGAGGAATCTCTTGGCATCTCTGTAGGTAGCACAGAAATTCTAGAGATGCAGTGGATGTAACTCAAACCCCAGCAGTTCAGAGAAGGAAATGAGGCCAGTGTCTTTCATGATAGACCTTGCTTACAAATTGAACTGCACAGCTCATCTCTTACAAGGTAATACAGAAAAACAGCATCTTTACCTCACAGTGTTGGTGTATTTTAATGGAAAGATTGTATTTTAAGGTAAAAAAAAGTATAGTAGACCAGTGGTTTCACCATAAAGTTCCAGAATGAAAGTAAGGGAAAAGAGCATTAGGCAGAAGGGAAGAACATGGATTGGCAGTGTTGTGGTGGGAAAAAGGTGGAGGGTTCTGTGCTGCAGCTGAATCTCTACAGCTAACTAACATGTCCAAGTTTTAAATACCCACAGTGAGTTATCTTTAAGTCTTTGTAGAAAGAGTATCAGAAACAGTATCATCAGTACTGGATGGGTCAGTGACAGAGAGTATTCTAATGAAGACCTCTGACAGCTGTAATACTGCTGTGGAGAGGCAGGGAACATGACATTCTAACAGGGCTTTATTTTACAAAGACTGAGGAGGCTTGAGATTTAGTTTGTTTTCAATCTTTTTCCCTGTTTCTGGGAAATAGGGAGTGGAAGGAACAGAGGAGGGGTTTTCCTCCTTAGGTGCTTTAGTGTGAACAGTGCTGACTAAGCATTGTAATGGTAGAACAGAGTCTCTTTCTTATAAAATCTGCTTGTATGGCTGAATATTGGAGAATGTTTTTGTAAAGAGGCAGTTAAATAGCAATTGTCTCCAAGTGCATTTGCAGGGGCTGCCAATTCCATCCTTGTCAGCTTTACCAGTTTTTGTTATTTCTTTGACTTGAAGAACAAGTAAGTGTTAGCAAAAGCCCCATTGGCCCAGGGGATATGAAAATCTCTGTTGTTTAAATCCTCTACTTTAAATTCCAAGGAAAGTGACATTTCAAGGATGATCCTAATTTTAGTCTTTTCCTGTTCTCCCTTTATGAATTGCAAAAGGTTTTAAAGTGGAAGTGACTAGCAACTACATACAGGCTTTATTCACCGGGTTGTGCCTGTGAAGTTGCAGCACTGGAGTCCCCTGCTGTGAGGTTGTTTTACTCTTGTGCAGCAGTTGTTGGAAGCCTTTGTGTAACCTGGCTGGAGAACCTTGGTGCATTTCTCCCAAAGTCTGCTTCTCTCAGAACACACCACATTCTGCAAGGCCACCAGCACCAGAACTGAATCTGCTCCTGCACTATCCACAGAATCACAGGATGGGTGAAGTTGGTGGGCACCACTGCAAGCCATCTGGTCCAACTCCCTGCTCAAGCAGGGTCAGCCTAGAGCATGTGCCACAGATGGAAGGCCATCTGGTCCAACTCCCTGCTCAGCCTAGAGCATGTGCCACAGATGGAATATGTCTAGTGAAAAAGTCTCCACCCTCTATGGGCAATCCATTCCTCTCCTGGGTCACCCACATAGGAAAGTTCTTCCTAATGTCCAGCTGGGACTCCATGTGCATCAGTTTCTGCTGTTCCCTTGTGTCCCAGTGGCTGGCACCACTAAGCAGAGCCGCAGTTCCCTCTTCTTGCCCTTTTCCCTTTAGACATTTACACATTAATGAGTGCTCTCTTCTCGAGGCTAAACCCCCCCAGCTGCCTCAGCCTTTCTTCTTGAGAGATGCTCTCACCGACCGTCCTCGTGAAATCCAGCACCCTGCCTGCTCGTTTCCTGCAGCCCTTAGAGCAGCCCTTTCCTCTCCCCGCAAGCGGCTCGCTGGCGGTTCCGCGGGCGGGGCCGCGCCGGCCCGGGCGCGCCCTTTCCGCCCGCGCGTGCGGTCAGGCGGCCGCGCAGCCGAGCGCAGGTGGCGCGGCCCGGCGGCGGCTGCTCCGCTCCGCTCCGCTCCGGGATGGAGCTGATCCGCGAGGGCTGGTTCCGCGAGACGTGCCGGCTGTGGCCCGGCCAGGCCATGTCGCTGCAGGTGGAGGAGCTCCTGCACCACCAGCGCTCCCGCTACCAGGAGATCCTCGTCTTCCGCAGGTGCGGGAGGGCCGCCCGGGGCGGTGGGTGGATGGCGGGGCCGGTCCGCGCCGTGCGGTGGGGCCCGGCGGCGCGGAGAGGGGGCGGGGGAGCGCGGCCCCGGCCGGCTCCAACCCCGCTTCCCCGCTCTGCCCAGCACCACCTACGGCAACGTGCTGGTCCTGGACGGCGTGATCCAGTGCACGGAGCGCGACGAGTTCTCCTACCAGGAAATGATCGCCAACCTGCCCCTGTGCAGCCACCCCGACCCGCGCAAGGTGAGTGCTGCCCGCGGTGCCCGCAGCCCCCGCAGGGCTGTGGGCCTGTCCCGGGCCGTGTCCGGGCGGCTCGGGCCCGACCCGCGCCGTTCGCTCCCGGGCTGACAGCCCGTGTCTGCGCTCCTCCCCGCCAGGTGCTGATCATCGGCGGCGGCGACGGCGGCGTGCTGCGGGAGGTGGTCAAGCACCCGACCGTGGAGTCCGTGGTGCAGTGCGAGATCGATGAGGTGCGTCGGGCCGCGGGGCGGGCGGGCTGCCCGGCACGGCGAGCCCGGGGCTGCCGGTGTGCTGCTGGGGGCTGCCGGGGCTCCTGGTGCTGCCGGGGCTGCCGGCGTGACAATGACAGCGCCACCTCTCTTCGCCTTGCGAGCCATCTACGTGGCAGCTGGCTGCCTCTTCTCTGATGTCTTTCACACACACACGCGATCGAGGCCCTTCCAGGCAGACGAGGGCCAAGCACGGGATCTGGAGGAGTGCCCTGGCTTTGTGGAGGTGCTGCTTTTCCCTGTGCTCCGGGCAGAGCAGGGTGGTTGCTTTGCTGAGCGCTCTCTTGCAACCAAAATCGGGAAATAAGCAGCGGGGATTTGCTTCTCTGGTAGATGGGTCAGTTGCTTTAGAAATGGTCATGGTTTTCTGTCTAGCACGACAGAGTTAGGAGGGAGGAAGTCACTACCAATTAGAGCATGTTGAGACTTTGGGTTGTTGATGGTGACTGTTATAAAGTGGGCACCTGCTCAGAACAGCCTGTGGCTGGTGACCTGTCTGCTCACAGAGGCCTCCGAGTGACAGTCACTGTTGGGACGTGGGCTGGGAGCTCTGTCAGACCACTGAAGTTTGCCCTTTTCCCAGTCCTCCTCTCAGCCAGTTTTGTTTTACTTCACTCTGCTTTACTCAGCCTGATATTTTACTTTCTCAGAAAGTTTTGCTCGGAGTAAAGCTATATTTAGAACAGGAAACTGCTGGATGAGGTTGTGTGCTCTGTCTGCCAGCTAAGTAGGCAAATGTCCCTGGTTTTAACAAGTGCTGCTTGACACTAGCATATTTTTTTGGTTTTGCCAGCTGTGAGAAGCTGCTAGTGTTGAGTACAATTGCTGGGCCCAGGGCAGTGGCTGCCTAACAATTTTAGAGAGCAAACTTTATCTTACAGGGGGATTGATATCATGGCTGTAGTGCAGGGATGGGGATATTTCTCATCTTGCATTCAGCAACCTGCTGGCATGGTTTTACTTAAGAAGAAAAATAAATTGATTTAGCTGACATCACCTATGCAAGCGATGTTCTGTAGGAAAAAGGAGCAGAGAGCAGTCTGACCTGTAATTGTATTTGCTCAGTTCCTCAGGGAGCTTTTGAAGCTCCAGGTTTGTGTTGAGTTTGGCATTGACAGAACAGCAGTGTCACTGAGCCCTGAGGCTGTAGGAAAAGGCTGAGAGTGGCATGCTGGCAGCTCCTGTGGATTTCACTGGCGAGTCAGACTGGAGCTGAAGGTGCTGAAGGAAATGAGTCACTGTGCTCTTCTCCCATCACAGCTGCACAGCAGTCTGAGGAGCAGCTTCTTGTAAGCTCTGACCCCCGTGTGCTCTCTGTGTTGCAGGATGTGATCCAGGTATCTAAAAAATACCTCCCAGGGATGGCAGTGGGGTATTCCAGTGCCAAGCTGACATTGCACGTGGGAGATGGTTTTGAGTTCATGAAACAAAATCAAGAAGCCTTTGATGTGATTATCACGGACTCGTCTGACCCCATGGGTAAGAATTCTGGCCATAAAAGGGCACTGTTTTCCACCTTCATACCTCCTTCATTTTTTTTATTCTGCCTACCTCTTGGAAGTTATGCGAGCCCACTGAGGATCCTTTCAAGTGAAGAGACTGTTGCTGATTTGTAGGGAAAAGGAAGGATGGAAACCATGAAATTGTATCAGCAGGCCTTCAAGGCAGCTGTTACATTTATCTCCTCAAAATTCAGCTCCAGCAGCTATTTCTTGTGGCAGAGTTGTTCCCTGAGCCCAGGGGGATGGGGGATGCAGCACCATGCTGGCAAGGGCAGCTTTGCACACAAGCCTGCTGATGAAGCAGTGGCTCACACACTGTTAGTGCAGCCCCTACCCTGAGGATAGCTCTGCTGAGGCTGCTGTATTTCTGAAGGGGAAAACTGAGGTAGAAAAGGACCAAATGTAGATATGGCACCTCATTTTAGGAACCTATCAACAAGTCTGAGTCACCTTCAGTCTTACCCTAATCAACACAGAGAAAGGCATCTCTGAAAGGCAGTTTGGAGCAGGAGTTCTGCTTCAAAAATGCTCGGTGGAGCAAGAGGCAGCTGCTAAGACTCTCTTTAATGGGGGACCTGGGCTTGCTATTTAGCAAAGTTAAAGTCCTGGCTGTTTTGCCCTGCTAGGTGCAGTCTGGGGTTCACCTAGGCTCAAAACTTTTCTTTATTCACCTTTCTCCCAGGTCCTGCAGAAAGTTTGTTCAAAGAATCTTATTACCAGCTGATGAAGACAGCCCTGCGAGAAGATGGGATTCTCTGCTGCCAAGGTGAGGATGCTGTGCCTGGCAGAGGCTGATGCCAGACCTTTACATACCAAGTGTGAGGCACAGAGGGGACTCTTCCTGGGGAG